ATTAAGGGGTGACATTTACAATATCAGAAATACGTATCTGACATTTCATTTTCGTGACTATTTCAGGAACTAAGAATACGATTTTCCCTATATGGGGAGACCCGCGGGCACCCGTGGGGGACAACGGGGTGGGGTGGGGATGGGGCGGGTCTGGAAGTAACGGGGATGGGGCGGGGATGGGGGGAACTTTTTAGACATGGGGCGGGGATGGGGGAGTGTACCCCCGCCCCAAACCCGCCCCATTGCCATCCCTAATCATATGTCTCATAATACCAGTCGCGTAACTACCCTACTCAATTTGTTGTTTGTTACTCCGTATTTTGATTATTTTAGATGGGCTTCAAAGTCTTTTCCGCTTCGCCGGCCAGTAAATGGATCGGCTTTGTCACCGCCGTCTGGGTCCAGGCCATCTCCGGCAACAACTACACCTTCTCCAACTACTCCGACGCCCTCAAAAACCTTATGGCCCTAACTCAGCTCCAGCTCAACAATCTCTCCGTCGCGAAAGACGTCGGAAAAGCTTTCGGCCTCCTCGCCGGCATCGCTTCCGACCGACTATCCACCCCCGCCATTCTCCTCATCGGTTCCGTCGAAGGCTTCATCGGCTACGGCGTCCAGTGGCTCGTCGTCAGCCGCCGCATCCAGCCGCTGCCGTACTGGGCCATGTGCATATTCCTCTGTATGGGCGGGAACAGCACCACCTGGATGAACACCGCCATTCTCGTGACCTGCATCCGGAATTTCCGGAAAAACAGGGGCCCTGTTGCCGGGATTTTGAAAGGGTACGTCGGTTTGAGCACCGCCATCTTCACCGACATCTGCTCCGCCCTGTTCGCCGACGACCCGGCGAAATTCCTGTTCATGCTCGCCACAATACCGTTCGTGGTCTGCATCGCCGCCATATTCCTCCTCCGCGAAATCCCGCCGTCGGCCACCGCGGAGGAAGAGAAGGACGAAGTGAAGTACTTCGGGGTGGTCAACGTCATCGCCATCGTGATTGCGGTCTACCTTCTGGCATTCGACATAACAGGGCCTCACGGGCGCGTGTTCTCCAAACTCTTCGCCGCCGTTCTTCTGGTTCTCCTGGCCTCGCCTCTGTCAATTCCGATTTACATTAAAGTAAAAACTTGGGTCCGACTCGATTCAAGAATCGCCGTCGCCGACGAGGAAACGGACACCGCCGGGGAGCCATTACTGGTTGCGGAGGAAGTTGTGCCGGTGGGGAGGATTGGAGATCTGATAACGCCGGCGGGGGAGGAAGAGGTGAAGGCGGAGAAGAGGTTTCCGGTGATCGGAGAAGACCACACGATATTTGAGGCGATTAAAACGGTGGACTTCTGGATCTTGTTTGTGTCGTTTTTGTGCGGAGTGGGGACGGGTTTGGCGGTGATGAATAATATGGGGCAGGTGGGGTTGGCTCTGGGTTACGCCGACGTCTCCATCTTCGTGTCGCTGACCAGCATTTGGGGGTTTTTCGGCCGGATCCTCTCCGGTTCCGTCTCCGAATACTTCATCAAGTACGTTTTCTCCCTCCGTAATTTTTACGCAACTTTTTTCCTTCTTCTAAGTTAACGAATACGTTTTTTCCGTCTTCAACTTACCTTCTTCTTTTGACTTTGGTCATTGGGCAAAGTCATAGTCACGTATACAGGTATACGTCCTTATGAGTTACGACACCTGGGTTTGTATCATTTTTTCGGGGAAAACTGTGAAATAGGTCCTCGAACTTTCATAAAGAAGTCAATTTAGTCCTTCTATAGGAGACTCTGTCTGGTCTTCGTGATTTGGGGCGGTTCCTGTTGGAATTTTTTGACGAATTTTTTTGAGCATTTTATTCATCAAGTCTAGTTTACTCATACCAAATTTCAGCTAAAAATTTAATCAAGAGCGCATTCAAATTAATTCGAGAACGCAAAAATGCACAGTTATCTTCAAGAATTAATTTGAATGTGTTCCCGATTGAATTTTTAGCTGAAATTTGGTATGAGTAACTAAACTTGGTGAATAAGATTCTCAAAAAATTTCATCAAAAAATTCCACCAGGAATTGCCCCATATCGCGATGGCCGGACAAAACCTCCTATAGAAAGACTTAATTGACCTTTTTATGAAAGTTCGAGAACCTATTTGACAGTTCCCTTTTTTTTTGTATTAATCCATTATGAAAATAGAAATATAAACGTAGCCTAAGTCTTGAGTCCTGACCTCAATTTACTTTAAAAATTTTGAATAATATTTCTTTCTAGTCCTAACACAGAATAATTTAAATCCATTGAGTTTCATTAAAAAAATTTGGGATATCTAAAAAAATTTGTCATTTTTTTAATTAATTAATTTGTGATTTTTATGATTTCACCCTTCTGCAGAAACTTCAACTACACAATTTTATTTTATTATTTTCTATGTCACTTAATCTTAACAAAAGTTTAAGTGAAGGAGGGAACGGCTTTTGTGGGAAAATATACTGGTTTAAGTGAAGTACTTATGGAGAGAGTTGTTAAAATTGTACGAATTGTTTAGCAAATTCACTGAAAAAAATACTTCCAATTTTGCTTATTTTTATTTCTACACAATTCCATAATTCATTACTAAAAACAAAAATACTAGAAACAATTTAGTCAATAGTGCTCGGAAGCAAAAAATGCTATACAGAACATAAAAACATACTTCCTCCGTTCTTAAATAAATGCAACGGTCAACATTTCACACTTGCCGAGACACAACTTTGACCATTAATATAAATGATTTTGTATTAGTAAAAAAATTAAAAAAATTAGATTATGAAAATTTACAATGAGAGAAGTTTAACAATATTTTTTTCATAAAATTAAATTATTACGGAGTACATTAATAAATAAAACGTAGTCAAAGTAGAACATGTGAACAGTGTAAAAGTAAAAGTGTTGCATTTATTTAACAACGGAGGTAATACTACTTATTAACAAATTCAATCATTTGCGGTACGTACTGTATAGACTATTAAAAACACAGATATCCATCGCTTTTAATTAATCAGAATGGAACCAAAGTTTATCTCCATCATAAATAACTCACTCCTTTCTGTTGGTGGGAAAAATATTGAATGTTTGATATACTGCACTTTTACACACAAAACTAATACTCAGAAGCTGCTTTCCCCCATTTCTAAAAAAATTAATTCTAAAAGTAAATTAGAGTATTAGAAGCACCCCTTAAATACAATCCATCTTGTTAAATTATGTAAGTATAAATCTTTTTTTTCCTATTGACGTGAATAGAATTATACTTTCCATTCAATGTTACTTTTTTGAAGACCATATTCCATCATCATATACCCAAGCCTTTCTTTTGAAGAAACGTTCATAAATTTGATTGTCACTATTTATGCAACATGATGTGACCATATATGTTTTGCTTTTGTGTAAAACCAAATTCACATTTACATGTTCAGGTAGTTTTTTCTTAAAATGAATAGTAAGGTGTAAAATTGGTGATTAAGTAGGTTATTAAAATTTGGACTAGATTTTCACAGATATTATGAATAAAGTTGTATACGTAGTAATAAGCCAATGATGTCTATATCATTTGGGCGCATAAAAATTGAAAGTGAAACGAATAATAAAATTTTAATGATTAGAATAAACAAAATACTCCGTATTTGAATGTTGAAATAATAAAAATGGAATGGAATATGGGGAAATGCTTTTTTGATGCCAAAAGAATATGCAAAGGATAAAAATTTGAAACATTGAAATGGACGCTAAGTGGTTGGGAAATGGGAATGAGTTACTTCCGTACGTCGTACTTTATGAGCACGTGCCATGTTACAACGTTTGTCGGATAAGATATGCTTAACAACTTGAAACCATTTTTATACTCACCTTATACCCACTATGTTTGTCGAGGTTTTTTTGTCTGTGAGTCGGAGTTTACAGACAAAAAAACACTTCACAAACATAGGTGCATACAAAAGTGGGTATAAGAGTGGATATAAAGATCATTTTTGTATGCTGAATATCTAGTAGACTAAAGTACTGAATGATTGGTTTTGCAGAAAAGGTGGAACACCCAGGCCAGTATGGAATGCAGCTTCTCAGATTCTAATGGCAGTAGGGTACATCACATTGGCCATGGCACTGCCCGGCTCTCTCTACATTGGATCCATAGTTGTCGGAATCTGCTACGGTGTCCGTCTCGCCATCACCGTCCCGACCGCCTCAGAGCTCTTCGGGCTGAAATACTACGGCCTCATCTACAACGTTCTCATTCTCAACCTCCCGCTCGGATCTTTCCTCTTCTCGGGCTTGCTTGCAGGCTTATTGTACGACGCCGAGGCTACCAAAACAGAAGGTGGCGGCAACACGTGTATAGGTGCACATTGCTACAGAATGGTGTTTATTGTGATGACCGCCGCGTGTATAGTTGGTTTTGGACTCGACGTCCTGCTTTCTCTTCGGACCAGACGCTTGTATTCACAGATATACACCATGAGGAGAACTAAGAAGACAAATGCCACTACATTGTCTTAAATAGTTATTTTTCCCTCTCGTGAGAAGCTTGTGTTATTGGATATTTAATTCTTTTTTGAAGGCATTAGTGCTAGTGCAGTAAAATAAGTTGGGTTTAGTTGATAAGCTGGAAATGACGACGCTTACGAACAAGCTCATTTCATTCATGTGTTATTTTCAGTTCAATAATGTCATCCTCTTTTGCAGAGTAAACAAAATGCCAGCTAAACTTATTTCAGTTTGTTCTATAGGACCTATTTTAGTTCCCAAACCAGATCTACACTGATCAGGTCCCCCAAATTTAAAAACCTAGCAAATCAAGCAAGATTTAAACAAATCATTAATACTACCTACAATCAGATATGACAACCAAAAGTAACCCATAACACACTTAAACATACCAGTATACCACAGTGGAATAGACTACACTAACAAAACTCAGTCCAAAAGAATTGGGCCTAAAGGGTATCAAATTACCAATCAAGGCATAGCCACGAAAATTTCTACTTGTAACCCCATACAAAACAATTGACCCAAGCATTGCCACCAGCTCGTTTATTTGGGAAATGAACTTTTCTTCAAATTTGAAGTCCAAACCATACATACTTGAAAACTAAACTGCGGTTTGTAAAGGGAGTATAATTTCCACTAAACTCCTATCGATATTGCTCATTACATTGAGTAGCTTAAAATTATCCAAGTTCAAGCTTGGCTTTGACCTCGAAACCTTAACTGGTCAAGCTTGTGCTACACATGAAATAAGTTTGAGTGAGCTCAAATGGTAGTATACCTTTTTAACGCGATTCTGAAGAAAGTGTAGGAAGCTGTGTATGCTAAATTTAAACTCGCACCAGATAGTCGTCTTCCCCAAAACCTCGACGCAATAAGCAAAACCCCGACGACTTCTCCACCTTCCTTCCCCTGTCCGGTCGACACTCTTCTTCCGCCCGATAAGGATTCTAGGTAACTCATCACTCTTTTTAGTTTTTATTATTTCCGGTTAAACTTCGAGCATCCACTTCGGTTTTCTTCCTATAACCTTTGCTAACAATCAAATGATTTGTTGGGAATCGCACAAGAAGAAATAATTGCAAATAATGTATTAGAAGTGTATATATGAACTCGCAGCTTGAATACAGATAGATAGCTATGGTCTAATCGATAGAGTTGAATGAATTTTCTAAGGGAGTGTTTGCGATTGCTTCTACTTTAAAATGTGATTTTTTAAAGTGATTTTGGAGAAAGTACTTAATAGTAAAAGTTGGTAGTATTTGAGAAAAAAGTGATTCTGAAAAAATAAAAATTGGTAGTGTTTGGTAAAATAAGTGTTTTTTGTGTAATAGGAAAAGTGAAAAGCAGTTTAAAGCATCTTTCCACTTGCTTCCAGCTTTTAGCTTTTAAGTGATTAATTTAAGCAGAAGCTGTCATTTGAAAACACTCCTTTCAGCTTTTTTTTAAGCAAAAAGCTCAAAAGTACTTTTATTAAGCTCAAAAGTACTTTTATTAAGGCTGGACTAATCTATTTATTCGAAATTTCCTTATACTTCGGCACAACCTTTGCACTCGATAGGAACTGCTCCCTCCTTTCACGCTAGTTTTCATTATCACAAACTTCAAGCTAAGTTTGTTCTTCTTTGTGAAACCCACCATATATTTTTCTTAAATTGTGATACGGTAATTAAGGCATATTTTGTAAAATTCGAGTAAAGTTGCAATTAACGGATAATTTATTATTACATCGAACAAATTCTTTATACTTAAATGAAAACTGGCAACCTGTTCTAAAACATCAAGCAAGTGGATGTTTTGAACATTCATATATATAAAAATTGAATTGAGTTTTTAATAACCACTTTCTGTTTCAATTTAGTACCAAATTGTCATATGCGATCACATCAAAGTAAACAAACTTAATTAAATTATTTAAATAGAATGAAATCTCATTTAACTCCTTTTTTAATGTATTCTAATTTCATTTTTTTATAAGCAGAAAAATAATCTCACAGTAGCCGATTACAATAAGGTACCCCTTTAGGATTCCCCTTTGGATGCTCTTTTGACTCAATTATTTCCACAATCCATCTATTGTGTCTAATTTGGAATTGGAAATTTATATGTTTAGTGGCTATTTTTGAGAAGTTTAACCAAAAGAAATTGATCCACTCAAATAGAGCTTAAAAACTGCAATCATTATTGAAATTTGTGTTTGTATAATTGTCAGAAATTGTTTTGATAAATATTTTAAGATAAGATCTTTAGAATACTACTTAACTATGTTTTCTATGTGAGAAGTGATGGACTGTTCTTTCTTTGGTTTGAAACAAAACGTCTTTGTCTATAATTGATAGAGTTGTATTTTTATTATGTATTATTTCTATTTTAACTAGTTTTATTTGTTGTTGTTTGGAAAATTACACACTTTTGGTGTAATTAGTTAATTTTCTTAGATAGATGTAATTTGTTTAGATTAGGATTATTTTGAGCTTAAAACAGGTCAAGATCATCCAAAGGATCAAGTTTGGACCCCAAAAGATCAAGGAAAGTGCAAGGGGACAAGATAAAAAGAAGATTGAAAAAATATTTCATATACCCGGTCGGGTATAGGCAATACCCGATCGGGTATTGAGTTGATTCGGGTGTCAAAATCAGAATCTGGAGAGATCTGGAGAGACAAAAAAACGTGCAGGATTTTGAAGATTTGGCTCATACCAGATCGGGTATGCCTTCATACCCGATAGGGTATGTCTAGAAAAGTGATTTTCCGGGAAACTGTCTAAAATACCCGATCGAGTACTCTATATACCCGGTCGGGTACACCACCCTGCTACCTCCAAACACTTATAAATACACCCCTTTTCCTTCACAATAAGAGCATCCCTTCTTCCATACTCTTAAGCTCAGTTTAGAATAGTATTTCTTTTATATTTTTATAGCATGTTTAGTCTCCAAATGAGGAGCTAAACTTCCATTTCTTGGTTTTGCTCTTGAAGCTTTATTGATTATTAAAGTTGTGAGTTATTTTCTTACTTTCTCCTCTTGATTATTAATTCTTCCCTTAATCTCATTCTATATTAATGTTGGAGGGTGGCTAAGTGACGATTAGTTAACGTTCCAACATTGATTATTACTAGAAACGTTCAACGAACCAATGGTTAAACGTTGATGGTTTCACAAGTAAGTAACTTCGGTTTATTAATGCACGGTCGTGGTTAATAAACTTAAGAGGGATTAATTTTGTTGGTTAAACCGAAACCGTTGTGTTGAGGTTATCAATCTTAATTGATTTCATCAAGGAGTTAAAGAGGTTAAAAGCTACTGTTATATCGGTATATGGCGTTGTTCTATATTTGATAAATAGTAAGGGTTATTAATGAACGGTCGTTGTTAATAACTACCCTCGATGAATTGGATATACTCCTCGATTGAGTATTCGAGAGGGGATAAGTTATAGATATAACAATGACCGACTAAAATATATCAACAAGTGGAAAGTAGCAAGACCAAGTCTCTTTTATTCTTGAATTTAATCCCATATAACTCGTTCATCTTCGTGTTTAATTTAATTAAATCACTCAACAATCAAAACCCCCCCTTTATTTACTATTTACATAAAAAGAAAGTTATTCATTTCCATGTGAATACGAACTCTACTTGACCTATACTACGTATAAGTGTTAGTATTGAATATTATTTTGAGTGCACGCACGACAAAGTGCACGTCAATAATTTACAGGTTTGTATCGATCTATGATATGCATGCAAAAAAATGTTTATTACACTATTTTATACTCTTTTGTGAATCAATAGTTATGACTTTAACCATATAATCTTGAATAGTTTATTAAGTCTCCATGTATCCCCTTCATCCAATAACTATCAGGAACAATAACACAATAGTCGTATGCTTGAACAAACGTTTGATTCCAAATCTATAATCTAACAGTTAAATGGTATAGAATTTCTGGGGAAAATAGAACATAGCATACCATTTCTATTTTGTACGAAGTAGTATATATTGGATAATTGTTCTTGAAAATGCGGGTATCATGTTAGTTGGTGCATAACATATATACAATATAAGACTGCACAAGTCCTCACACATATATACAATATAAGACTGCACAAGTCCTCACACATACACAGACTCAGTAAATCCTATGAAAGGTAAAATTTTAAACTCATTTGTTTGCAACAAAAGATCATGAAAGTGGATCCTTTGGATGAATTTTGAGTTGTACCAATGGCCCTTCAATGGATATCTTTGTCCTGTACTTGTATTGTATTTTTGCACCCTGCCAAAACCAAAATGAACATATACATAAAGCAAAAAGTAAGAGAGAAACGAACACAGAGTCACAATACATTAGTGTGCTTAAAAATGAAAGCTCTAGAGAATAACTTTGCTATCATGACTGCTTACTTTGTAAGACCTTTGAAAATGCACGTACTTGGATACCAATTTCATTGTATTATGTTCTTCACCAATATGCAGCTATAAATGCAGGAAATGAGGAGCAGTTAAAGTAATTTCCAGGTATGCCCCCCGCCCACCCCCAAATAGCTATTATTATTTCAAATAATTGGTTGTATTTGCACCTATATTCAACTATTCAATATGCTAAACAAAACAAAGACCTGTATTAAAATCAATTTTCACCTATAAATGGTTGGTTGTATTTGCACTTATAAATGAATACGTGAAAAGCAATTTTCATAAGCTTTGGTATTTATGAGCCCTTTAATTTCAGTAGGAAAGTAATGTGATCCGATGTTTTTCTGTAACCAACATTTAGGCATGATAAACATGTAAAAAACACTAAGCAAGGAAAGAAATAACTTTGATATATGATCCTTGAGGGAAGCTGCGGACCTCCTGATCCCGGATAGCAGAAATGAAGATTGGGTGGTCCCATACACAACTCTCACATTGACCTTATACCTACAAATTTATACACTTGAGTTAGAATAATAGCATTATAGGATATAGCAACATGAACATAGGGAGTGCTTACCTTAGAACTGCATAGTAGAGATAACCATTATGTTATAATATTTGTAGGTGGACTGTGTTGAGAATATTTCTGAATTATATTCAGAAATTTAAAGTGCATCATCTCAAGTAAAATTATAATTATTTCAGACCATACTGTACATCGATATTTTTTTCTTTGGGGTCCCGAATTGATAGCATCTATCTTTCAGAGATTGAGTTGATAAATTTCCTATTAATAACTCTAGAAAATAATAGCATATAGATAAAAATAGAGGTATACTAGAGAAACATTCATAAAATTACTCAAAAAAACAAAAACAGAAAATTCTCCCTAAGAAGTTGTTCTCTTCGTCTTAATCTTATTACTTATTCCTTATTATTATTTTATTTAGATCAGATCAGATCAGAAAAATTCAGATCAGATCAGAAAGATTCGGATCAAATCAGAAACATTCAGATCAGATCAGAAAGATTCAGATCAGATCAAAAACACTCAGATCAGACCAGATCAGAAAAATTCAAACATGATTTATCACTTTTATTATTATATTAATTACACTTATTATTATTATTATAATTATTATATTATAGTTATTGTTAATAATATTAATATTAATAATAATACAATAATAATAATAATCATAATATAATAATGTTAATAATCTAAATATTATTATTATTATATAATAATAATATAATACATTACTAATAATATAATAATAATATAATATAACAATGGTAATAATATTAATATTATATAATAATAATAATAATAATGTTATTACTATATTGTTATTATATTTTTATTGTTATTATAATATTTTTATTGTTATTACGGAGTATATAATTATAATTATAATTATAGTTAGAATTATGATTATAATTATTATTATAATTATTATTATAATTATAATTATAAGTATGATTATATAATAATAATTATTATTATTAGTAATATTATAATAATTTTATAATATTATTATAATAATATAATAATATTATAATAATATTACATAGTTTAGTTGCTGCTCGTTGCTCTAATTTCTCTTCGGTGGACGGTGGTAATTGGTAAATTGAGACTTTGAGAGCTACTCTTCAAGTCTTCGGGTGTAACTGGTAAGTAGAGGCCTGCGTCCTAACTCCTAGAATTGCTGCGTAAGTCATAAGTGCTTAACAAGTTGTTTTTTTAATTTTTAAAATTTATTATATTTTTAATTTAAAGTTAAAAACTAAATTACAGCTTTGCTTGATATGAATTTGATTATTATTTCTAAACTTGTAAATTGGAATCATCATTTATAGTTTGATTTTTCTTGTGACTTGTTGAAGATCAAATGTATTAGAAAATATGTGATTTTCATTGCCTTTGTTGAAAATAATAGGATGACTAATAAAATAAAGGTAGTATTTGCTTGTGACTTGTTCTTATTAATCTAATTATTAATTTAAAAAATATTTATGCTGTAATTAGTCATCCTATTATTTTCAACAAAGGCAATGAAGAGATACTTACCTGTTGAAGAAAAAGATAAAGGAAGTAGCTAATCCAGTTGTAAAACCTGTAGAGAACAATTGTAAAATTATGGTGTATTTGTATTTGACTTTAATGAAAACTCTTATTCCTATAATCTTAATTTTTGTCTTTGATTTTGTTGCTAGAATAAATGTTTTTTTTTAATATTATTTTTTTTATTAAATTTAGCCCCACCTGGATGCCAAAGGTAGATCCGCCCCTTGCTCCAAACCCTAACGGCCTGTTTGGATTGAGTGTTGAAGAGTGTTAGTAATGGAAGTGTTAGTAAGTGTTGATGCTAACACTTGTTTGGGAGAAAAATCCAGAGGTGTTAAGAAGTGTTAGTAATGGTTAGGAAGTGTTAATAATAACCTTCCCAACACCTCAATTGTCCATTTTTTTAACACGTCGATTTGGAGTGTTTTGAGGTGTTGGACAATTATTACCCTTCTCATTTACCCGAAAAACATAAAATGATTCGACATTTTACTTCGAATGTCTTTCCCACGGGTCTGATGGTTTGTTTTTTCATCTCTTCTCTCTACTCGTTTCTTTTGCCTCAAGGTAAAATTATTAACACTTCCATTATTAACACTTCATTCATTTGACTCTCCCAAATAAGGTAAAATTATGTCTAACACTTACACTTCCCTTCCCTTCCGAACCCTAACTAACACTTACTAACACTTGCATCACACTTCCAAACACTCCATACAAACAGGCGCTAATATACTACGATCTGCTCCATTGCTTGCCTTGATTCCAAAAATGTCGTACTTGCTGCCTCATCTTCATTCCGGTTGGGCAGTTGATCAAGCGATCCTTGCAGAGGAGGAGCGCCTTGTCCTTATCCGCTTCGGTCACGACTGGGACGAGACCTGCATGCAGGTACATTCTTTATCGTTAGCTATTTGTCCAATTTTTCTTTTTTCCATTTTGTTGTCCTAAAAGGGGGAAAACGTTGAAACGTTTATTAAATTGTACACTAATCGAGATTAACTTGTAAATTCTGGTTGGTTGGGTATGTCTAGTTAACCCCCATAGACAGTTTGATTAGTAAGTTCTCCAATGTTCTTGCTTTTTAAAAACATGTGAATTCATATAAATCGAATTTCTTACAGAAAGCTTCTTCCACTATAAGAGTTAGAATCAAAATAGGTTCGTTCTGCAGGGGCCTTTGTTCTACTGTATCCAGCAGTTTACTCCCATTTTCATAACGTATCCTGTCTTTGTCAGTTAACTGCGTTAAATATGGGTGTTATTAAGGGTATGTTTTAGATCAAGATAGAGGGTGAATGAGGAGGGAGTGAAGATTTCTTTATGCCACCTGGTACTTATTTGTTTTGATTGCATGGTAGGAGAGGATGCAGTGAAGTTTGTGCATTCCCTAAAAGAAACCAAATTGGCCAGTTAGGAAATGATTGGGAAGGAAATGTAAACACCCCCAAATTGTTGTAGAATATGCCTTTATGTAAAACAAGATGTATAACAAGACTTACGTCATACAGATATATTCTATTTTTTTGCCATTCCCTTTTAACTTTCTACCCCTCACCTCATGTGCTTGTATTCCCTTTCCATTACCGGCTCTGTCTTCCTTTTCCACCTTCATTGCTCAATTTGCTCCTTTCCTCCTTCACATTCATTGGTACATTCCTCTCCAACTTTCTTCATCTCCTCCTTTAATGGTCTTTGATGTCTCCATATCTGACTTCCATGATTGTGGACTGTGCCACCGCCACCTCCATGAAGAAAACTAAAAAATCAAATGGAGAACTCACCTCTTCACCGGAGTGTTCTAATGTTCTATATACATGGAAACCATTGATGAGTTGACCTTTATAAGCTATTAAGCTTTTGTATTTGCCTTCTCTTTTACTGCTATGGTGCTTTGGAGTGTAAAAAGTTTTCTCTCAGGCTTCAGGATTTTAAGTTGTGTACTCGCAGCTCGTCTGTGAGCTTGGTCTACCAAAAACATGTGAACTTGGTCCACAGATGACCATTGCTGGTGATGCATTCTATAGACTTGGATAAGAATGAGTACATGAAATACATAGAAGGTTTGTCCTTAGGTCTTGTAGTTCTGTGACTTCTGTCATCTGTGTTGTGCATGAAAAAATTCAGCAGGTTCCAAATAGTTCTGAATAGAATTGCATAATTACATGTAACCATATGAATCATGTAAGGTCAATAATATTTTATTGTAATAAAAACGGACACCACCCGGTCAAGTTAACTCATTTTAAGTTTCCTTTTCGTAAGCGGTGTCAAATGTTTTTTACATTGAAACATTCTTGATTTGTAGGACTAATGAGCTAGTTATGACATGTATATATGTATGTATGAATGAATGAAAACATCCATGACCCTGCATAGTTAGAAGGTTTTGTTTCTCTAGATTGACACTTTATTTGCATCATACTTGTTACGGTGGCTAGGCGGGGCGCGGCGCCAGCCGACCGCCATATCGCCTCGGCGTCTAGGCGCCCGCCTAGGCGACAACTAGGCGACATGTCATTTCACATGTAATATTTAAATATACATACATATTAAAATAATTTATAACATATTACATACTCTATGTTAAAAATGTATATGAAACAACATACATTGTATAATATGTACTCCGTAATTTATATAGAATAAAATAATGTATTACAAATTACATTGAAATATATGTGTGTGTGTGTAAAACAAGTCAACAACAAATAATTTTACTTACGGAGTAAAATGGATGTTCAATATGGAGTAAAACTTTTTGTATTGTGCAATGAAAAATTTTCTGCATGATCATACATTATAACAGCTGAGATTTTGTTCTACTTGTTTCCAAAGGTTTCCATAGGATTTTTATGAAGTAAAGTAATATATCAACAATGGACATATACAAGTCATCATCTCTCACCATGCCTATAGAATGTTGCATCTTCCTGTATGGAGTGACTTGTGCTTTAATGGACATGGTGAATTGTGAGATAATTTTTAAACCGAGTGTGCTATTGACTGTGGTCAAATAATTTTTTATACAGTACATATTGAGCATTGCATATATTGCAGTACTGTTTTCTTTATTTTGATGTGCCTACTGATTGTTTTGTTTTGCTTGAGTTTTAAGATGGATGAGGTATTGGCTTCAGTGGCGGAGACATTAAAGAATTTTGCAGTGATATACCTAGTGGATATAACCGAAGTACCTGACTTCAACACAATGTATGAATTGTATGACCCGTCGACTGTAATGTTCTTCTTTAGGAACAAACACATCATGATTGATCTTGGAACTGGGAATAATAACAAGATAAACTGGGCGCTGAAGGACAAACAAGAGTTCATTGACATTGTTGAGACTGTGTATCGTGGTGCCAGAAAGGGCCGTGGTCTTGTCATCGCACCCAAAGATTACTCTACCAAGTATCGTTACTGATGTATTCTATTTGTTGTGGTACACACGCACAGATTTGTATTGGTCCCTGTTGTGCGTTTATGATTAAATTAAATAATAATGAGACTGTATTAGATACTCTGTATATTGATGTTTGGTGTTGTATTAGACTAAGTCGCACCGCTTGTTGATCGATTGCAGAATACATATTCCTTTTGTTTGGCAAGTTTCAACATTATCTTATAATAGTCATGGACCCGGGCCGGGCCCGGCCGGGCTTTTTTTTTTGGAAGGAAGGCTTGGGACCGGCCCGGGTAGCCACCGGGTCCGGTCCGGGGCCGGGCCGGGCCGGGCCTCTGGTTCGGTCATATTTTTTTTTTTTTTTTTTTTTTGCTTTCCTAACCCCCCCACTCACCCCCCCCACCCCTCCAAACCCCCAAACCCCTCCTAACCATCAAGCCCAACCCAACTAACCCCAAAAAATGAAAAAAAAAACCAATTCGGCCCGGGCCCGGGCCCGACCCGGCCGGGCCGGTTCGCCAAATACTAGGCCCGAGCCTAGACCCGCCCCCCCCACCGGGCCTAGGCCCGACACGGACCCGGACTCGAGAACCGGGCCGGTTCCGGGCCCGCACAGTGGCGGGCCGGGCCTGTCCCGGGCCGGGCGGCCCGAACCGGGTCCATGCCTATCTTATAAGAGCATCTTTAATGCTACATTGTTAACATGGAATAAACTTTGACACATGGCAACTAATAAATGGAATCATGTAAATAGATAGTGGAACTCAAAAAACTTCTCCAATGGGTAGCGTTCACAACCCATATAAATCTATAGATAATACATTTCAAAGATACAATTATGGAAAGTTTTGACACGTGTCATGTTCTAAGCAACTTTATCAAAAACCCTTTCGTACATTACTTTTCCTCAATTAATTTTGCTAAAAATTAGGAGACATATTCGTATTAGATTACATTACTCCGTAGCTATTCTTCCTGCTAGGCCGGAGTTGCTAAAAATTAGAATTTAATGTTAGACTAGAAATTCTTTAATTTAAAGGTCACAATTCATGATTTCTGCAAATACAAATAATATGTTTATGATTAGAATTCATCAGAATTATAATTCATTAAATATCACAAACTATGGAAAGTTTTGTCATTTGTCATCTTCTAAACAAAACATTCATTATAATATCCCATATTTTCTTTCCAATTTGATATCATCTATATCTATCTATAGTTATATACTACATCTATGGAAAGTACATTTCAAACATACAATTATGGAGTTTTGTCATGTGTCATCTTCTAAGCATACATTCATTATAATATTTTTTATTCTCTTCCTAATTTAGAAAATTAATTCTTAATTGTACGTTCGTTAGAACTTAGAAGTTAAGTTATATTAAAACTCATCATATTATACGTTCGTTAGTTTAGGACTAAGTTAGAAGTTAAGTTAGATTAAAATTAATCAATTCATGTTATGTACGTTAGTTTAGGAATAATAAATCAATACATCAATTCTATGTCATCTTATCAATTCATGTTCCCATTTTTTTTGTTCAAAAAACTAACTTCATAACGTTAGAATAGAATTAGAAATTACATATTTAAACAAAAATAGAAATACAATTACGGATCATGGAAATTTTGTTGTATTCGATTAGAATTCATCTACATTCTATACGTTATTTATGTTAAATTTTCTCAATTTCTATCGATCATATCAAACATTTGTCATAGAAGACCAGACCAGATCAGATCAGATAAAAAATAAAATCAGACTAGAAAAATCCAGTTCAGTTAAAACATCTTTAAGGAGTCCTTCCCTAAAATTTAGAACTACATACTCCGTATTAGATTAGAATATATCTCCCGAAACATTCTACACATTCTAATGTCATGATAAAAGTAATAAATATGTTTTTAATTCGATTGAATTTTTTTAACTTAAACAAATGTATGTGAATGCTTTTTAGAGTTATTTAAAAATACTATTTTTTATTATTTTAAAAGTGAGAAATAAAATTTTGAGCATTCTTTGTAATACACAATTGGTGAGATATTATGAGTAATAAAAGGTACTAGGTAGTATAAATTAACTTAAGGTATATGTACTCCAAATGTAAAACAAGTGATGAATTTTTTAAAATCTTATTTTTAATTTTTTTTCAATTTCAGACTATAATAAAATAAAATTTTATTCTACAAAGTCGATCAAAATGGTGTAAACAGAATTAAGTAAGAACACGATATCTAAAAATTGATAAAAAGAACTAATTTTGAAAGCACACTTTTTTAAGAGACTGAAATTTAAAGAACATTATTAAAAAATATATACAACCTTCCATCCGTACATTAGAGAATTAAATAAATGTTCGAGGCTGATAGAATGCGATGACGAGTAGTTTTAGCAAAAAAAAAAGGCGAATGTATCTTACATTGTTAGGTTTAGTAATTCTATCTGCATGGTTATGTTTGGTATTAAGAGCGGTAGATGGAGAAAATGCCATTTATAATCAAATGCTTCTTAATACCAAACATAAGGCCCATTTGATAAAAACCAAAGAGCCATCCAAGATATTTAGAACTCTATATGAGATTAAATAAATCTGTCAAAACATTCTACACATTCTAATGTCCTAATATAATATGAGTATTAATATGAGTAATAAAAAATTTATAATTAGACTATGTTTTTAAGCTTAAAATATAGGAATGCTTTTTACTGTTATTTAAAAGTATTATTTTTTATCGGTTGAAAAGTGAAAAGTAATATTTTGAGAATGCTTTGTAATACATATATGGTGTGATATTATGAGTAATAAAATGCTATCATAAATTAGTTTAAAGTACATATATTCCAAATGTAAAATAAGTATTGCAATTTTAAAATCTTATTTTTGATTTTTTTTTTCAATTCCAAAATTATGAGTGTTAAAAAGCTATTATAAATCAATTCAAAATACATATATTCTAAATGCAAAACAAGTATTGTAATTTTAAAATCATTTTTTTAATATTTTTTCAATTTAAAAATATATTAATATTCATAATTTGATCTTAAAAGTCAAAATGGTATCAACACAATTAAGTAAATAAACATATTTAACAAAAAAAACTTTTTAAGAAGCTGAATTTTAAAGAACATTAAGAAATTAAAAAATTTGTACAACTTCCCATCCGTACGTTAGAGAATTAAAAAACTGTTTAAGATTGTTAGAATGTGATGAGAAACACTTTTAATAAAAGAAATTTAAAATGGGAAAAATTATGTTACATGGGTTATGTTTAGTAATTCTAGGGGGCGCATAAAGCAATTCTTTATTTGGATACATAGGACCCGTTTGGTAACACTGAACTTGCTTAATCGGAACAAATTTTTAAATTATGAAAATCTGGCCGAAGTGACTACATTGGCTGAATCATTGAAATATTATGTTTTAAAATGTACTTTTTTAATAAATTTAAGAAAAAAATATACGGGAAGTAGCTACAACGGGGCTCTACAGTAAATTCACCCTAAAAATTATCACACTTGAATTATTTTGATAATTTCACAATTCAGCGTGCAAGTGAAATCTACGTATTTTGGTTTTAAAAAAGGCTGATAAGTTGAAAACAAGTTGCCAAACGGGCTCATAGATTCGGGCTATGTTTGGCATTTTGAGCTATATGTGGAGATTAAGGTTTATGCTTTGATAGGAAAGATTTGTTATATATTTTGGGACGAGTGGCTTCAGCTTATTTAGTTGGTATTGTTGATGATCTTAGCTATCGGTTTCTATCTTCATCAGGAGGAGGCCTTCTCTTTTGGGACGGCTTCTCTTTTGGGAGTGGATCGTTAGCATGTTATTTCAATAACTTTATGTTATTTCTTTAACTTTCTACCTTCATTAGCTGTTGTAATTTTTTCTATATTTTAATAAAACTTTTATTTCTGCTAAAAAAACTAAAGGCTATTGTCTGGACTTGAATTTTGAAATGTTGCATCTGAACTATTAGATGGACTCGAACAAGGTAAATCTGTTTGATTGAAAGGGTTGAAAAACGTCCAGATAATATGACCCGACCAGATTAGATCATACCAAATCAAAATCAATCATCATAGACAAATCAGACAAAAAAATCAATCAAACTAAAAACATTTTTAATGGAGTCCTCCCTAAAATTTAGAACTGTATATTAGATTAGAATTCAACAAATCTCTTGAAAGTGTTCATGAGTAAAATTTGAAGTTAATTAGCTTATTATAGAGTTAATCATAATACAAGTAGAAGTGAGATAGACATAGAAATTAAAATATCTTACTATGGAATTAATTGTTCATATTTTAAAAATATTTAAATTTTTATTTAATCACCAAAATTGAGACTATGACACATGATTTGCTACTAAAATAGAAAGAGGGACTACAAAAGCTACACAAATAACCTCACAAATGAATTCCTAAATTATGATCTAATTGAGAAAACAAATCTTAAAAGGATTTCAAGATGATGAATATGAATTTTATTCATGTATGAATTTATGCAATGAGGTCATTTAGCTCTATAAGTCAATGTTTTTAAATAAATTAAAGGTAAGATATGTTTAATAGCTCATGTCCACAAAATTTCCAATGAAATTGTTGATTTAGAATAGAATTGTCTGGCCTGTGATATTCATTTTTTCATTTTTAAAGTGCACACATACAACTTTAATAATATCAAAATACTTGAAAACTCAAATTTCCATAAATTATCTTTTGGATCATACTATAAGTCCAACAATATGTATTTTACTCAATCTAATGAAATATAAATCCATAGCTCCAATCACAATATGTAGCGTGTTGTTGCTGCCATCATTTTCATTGAAATTAAATACGACTGTCACAAATTATTTATTCTATGTTGTTCTGGAAAGAGATCGAAAGATTAATTTGCAAAAATCTAAAACCTTGAAGGGCTATTATCTGCAAAAAAAAGTTGACTATACCTATTTTTAAATAAATGAATTCCAACTGACGTGTAGTTAATTTTGAAAAAATCACTAAGCCACGAATGAAATTTAATGGATAAAAATAAGCATTGATGATTTTATTTTTTTGTTTAGGTAAAGATGGTTGAAAAGATTAATTACATTTAAGAGGTGTAAAAATGTTCTTTTCATTAGAAAATGTAGTTTGAAAACATGTTTAGATAATTAGTTCAAAAATAAGACATGATCAATAAATTAAAACAATGTTATAATCAATTAAATAAGTGATTTTTCATTAGTAAGAC